TATCTGTCTGCCTGCCAGAGATGTCTCTTGCCCTTGGTCCTCCCCTGGCTCTCATACTGCAGCTCCTCAGCCTTTGCCTCTCCTCTGGCCAGAGGGCTGAGGGTGCTTCAGTGTGTGATGAGTGGGATCAAAGTCTCTCGTGACATTAATGCATTGGATAAGCACTGGGCACAGGAGCTCTGCTCCTATCAATCCTACCACAGGCAGGCAGCTCGTGGTAAATAAACACAGTGTGACAGGAGGAATGAAATATTTATTTTGGCTCATTAAGGTTAGCACTGAGGTGGAAGAATTAATCCCACAACAAATTACGCCTCTGCTATTGCTTCTAGAGTTCAGGATTTTTTTTAAGCACCAGACACCCAGCTCTGTCTGCTCTTCTCAAATCCAACAGAAATCAAGGGATGGAGCCAACAGCCTTTGGGGGTTTGGAAGGACATGTCAGCAGTGGCGAGTCACGGCTGAAGGTTTCCAGCAAGCTGGGGTGAGCTAGGGCTGTTGTGGCCAGGGTAAGGACAGGGAGGGTCCAGAGAGGGACCTGGACATTTGGCCTGGGCAAACTGTTGCACTGGGGGTGCAGGTTGTGATACCACCTCTGCTAAGTAGCCACATTTTTTGGTTTATTTGGCTTGTGATGGCAGTTAATTAGAGGTAACGCTAGCTTTGTCCTCACCGAGCTGCCGGTGAGCCTCAGTCCTGCTCCTTGTGATCACCCATGATAAAATCTCTCCTGAACTGTGGTCTGCTGTGGGGACAACGGGTTAACCTGAGCTCTGGACCCAGAGTTGGAGGTGTCAGAAAGATGGCATGGAGCAGATTTCACTCTGCAGTTATTCTGTGGCCTCTGTTTATGCAGACATTTGGATGGAGGCCTCCAGCCGCTCTGCAGAAGGCGGCACAGAGACAGTGTGCTGATGCACGGAGGCTGTAGAGTATCTCCGCTCTGGAAGTGATGGTCAGACCTGCGCTGCTCTGCGCAGAGTTCAGAAGCCTGCTCCTCCCGAGAGGCAGAGCACATTAGTGATTTGCTTTGCCTGCATTACCCGATCCAGCCCTTGCTCTTATTGCACATGCAGGGAGAGAGAGTGCCGAGACAGTTCCTCTCCGGAGGCTGTTAAGAGACATTTAGCTTCAGTTAAGACTCCTCATAAAACGAGTCAGCTTTTGCATAAGACAAGGCAGCGCTTGGAAGCCCTCCAAGCCAGTGGAAGGAAACACGATGCTCAGGCAGGGCTAGAACTGCTCGTCCCGGGAGATGCATGCAGGAGGAGTGCTGATGGGGAGAGCTGGGCGGCGTGGAGGGAAAGGGGCTCTCAGGAGGAGCTGGGGTCGCCTCAGGAGCACAGTAGGGAATACAACCAAGTTTGTCACTTCGAACCTGCTAGCAGTAATGGGTAACGCTCTCCTGGGGGAGATCTGGAGCCGCAACAGACTTATCCAGGTAATCAGTTGTCTCAAAATATTCCTGTTTTTTCCTAGAAACCAGATAGCCTCTCTGCTGAAAAAGGAGCCGTTATGGGTGCTTCAGGCAGGTGGGGAAACAAGAAACACCTTCGCCCTGCCTTGTCACGCTTCCTTACGGTCAGCCTCCAGGCTTGTGCATCCCCTGTGAAGCATTCACCCTGCCAGCCCAGAGATTTAGGTTGTCTTAATGTTTACTCCACCCGCTGGCATAGGGAAGGGGACAAAAGCCCCCCCGCCACGAAGCACCTGGTGCCCGTGAGCCTGGGTGGGCTGTGGGCACAGCCGAGCGGGGCAGGCCGGGGGGATGGGGCAGGGGCTGCTTCCCTCCCAGGCTGGGGCTCGCCGGAGGTGGTGCAGCGCTCCGAGACAGCAGCTCCCTTTCTCTTTTGTGTCGCTGTGTGCATTGTGTTTCTTGGCACCATGCATCCATGACATCTTGATTTGCAGACAGTCAAATAAAATAGAAAAATAATGTCCCCTGTTAATAGATTGACACACTGCTTCAGGCCAAGTGTGAGTATTTCTATAGCATTTGCTTTGCTGCCTTATGTCAGTAACTGTTGCTATTGAAAGTAAACACCCCGACTGGCTAAATCAACAGTGTTTTGTTTATTCAAAGCTCATAAACTCCAGTAGCTGTAGGTCACTTTATGAAGTGCCAGCCCCTGGGGGAAGAGAAGGAATAGTGTGAAATTATTGCATGCGGTCCACCCATCATGAGCCTTAGAGGAAGGGGGTTTATTGGCAATTAATATTTCTTGCAGAGGAAAAAAAAGTAATCCTATTGAGGCAGCTCCACGCTGAACCTTGAGCCTCCTCACTGGTGGAAATGGGGAATGGGGTGAAACCTTCATATAGGCCTTGGTAAAAAAAAAAAAAAAGATAGATCTTGGAAAATGAAAAGTGGGTTTTCCTTCGAAAAGGGTTTGCAGACCACCTAGTGGGGGGAGAAGAGTGCAGGCAAAATGGGGCAGAGGAAACTCAGCACTCAGTGGGTGCCTGTATTCCTCCACCTTTCCCTTTAGCACTATATCTGCATTGAGAAACTCAGCTGAAACACTTCCAAATGGTATTATTCTGCAGCACATATAAAGCACACATGGGTTTTGTACATTTACAGGGGTGACCAAGTCTGGGTCAGGACAAAGGGAGTTGTGGAGATGCTCATAGCCTGCTCATGCTGTAGCCATGCCTGAATGTAGCTCTGCATCAGCCTGGCTGCTGCTGGCTAGGCGGCCCTGGCAGCACAGAGCTGCATCGGGGCACCCACAGAATATCTCTGCCCATCGCAGGCTTCCAGGCAGTGTTTTGGGGTTTTGGTATTTGCAAAGAGCAGGGATGCACATGCCTGGTGAACCAGCTGTCCTCCCCGGCTCCCTGGTAGGTCGCAGTGTACACAAACACTGCGCTCTATGGAAGTTGGACAGAGGCTTGGTCTTCAGCAGTGATTTCCAACTTGCCGAGATCCAAATGTAATTAAGATGAGTCAGACGGTTATTTCCAGGCTAAAATTTGTCCTTCCTCGTCCTGAAAAAGCCTTGAGAACCACTGATCTGTGGGATGACAGTTACAAAGCTCTCTACTGAAGGAGACATAGGTTAATCTGGAATTTTGGTAATTTGAGATGCTTTGGAAGTGAAATTTGGGGATTGAATAGGAATAAACAGTGTCCAGGGCAAAGCTTAAGTATATTTTCTCTTGACTCTTGTAGACATGTTTTTGATGATTACTATTTATTCTTAAGCCTTTAAGGTTACAAATCTGTCTTTGTGATCAATCCAATTATGAACTCATAAAAAATTTGAGTATTTAGGGAAAGGCATTAATAATACAGCCATGCAAAAGAAATTAGCAGCTTCTGTGAAAGTAATCTGAATATATATTCTTAATTGGCAGTATCTTACTCCAGCTGTTGTTATATATTTGAAGGGAACAATGAGTCATAAGGTTGTTTTAAATAGATTTTTAAAAATGCCTCTCAAACAGCACAAGAAAGACATTGAATTGTCTGTGTTTTTAATAAGAGCAAAAACTCTGTGTCATAACTGGCAGAAAGGGTACAGCTGAGCTTGTATTAGCTAGAAAAGTTGCTCCCCTCTTCTGCAGACACCTCTCTCTGAAAGGTTTAATGCTTATGTTTTCCCACCAAATCCTCTAGCATTTTCTTCATGCAGTGAGAGAATCTGTACAGCTCTTGCTGCAGCCAGGAGCTGTTGGGTTTTTGGCTTTCTGAAAGTTGCACAGCAGTAAAAGGGTGCCGGGACCAGGTCACACAAAGCACAGCTTTGCCTGTGTGCGAGTGGAGGGGTGTTCAGTGAAGGAAAGAAACAAGTGCTCAGGGTCTCTTGGGAGCAGGCTCTTTGTCAGAGAAAGTTAAAATCCAGCCAAGGCAGCTGTTAAATAGATGAGCGGCATCCTCTAGAGGCCCGTACGTTGGGGTGGATGAATCTGGAGGAGTTTGAGTGCAGGTCATGAACTCGCAGTTCACCAGGCCCGAACTGCTGCCCACCTGGTCTGGTCATAGGGAAGCTCGTGATATTTTCCAGCTGTCTGCGTTGTAGGGAACAATTCTCGCATCTTCACTTTCTTCGGCTCCTGCCGCTTGTTAGCAAACAGTTGGAATGGGCTTGCAGGGATGGTGACCAGGATTCTCCGAAGCTTTTCTGACCATGTAAATGACTGTTTTAAAAGGACGAGAGGAAAGTAGGTGGAGAGATGGTGCTATGCTGGTTGTCTGGCTGGGGAAAGAGAGAATAATTTGCCAAAGTCATGCTCCAACTTTGTGGCCAAGAACAGTGAAGACCTTAGAAATCCTTGGTCACGTACATGCCCATCTGGATTGCACCCTAGCTTTTCTTTCCTTGCCTTTTATTATAAAATCTCAGTTTGCAACACAGGGCCCTGCTCCTCAAACATTCAGGCCTCTGCAAAAAACATGCTTGCGAAAAGCCCAGGCTGTAGCAGTTCTGCTTGCAAACACGGCTTCATGATTGCCCCGTTGTTGTGTGCACAAGGCTCGGTGCCTGCACATGGAGACAGTGCTTTTGTTGGCAAACAGACTGTTCCAGGCCCAGTGTAGTCCTTATTCTGTAGGAGGCAGTGGGCTTTTGTAGAAGAGGTTTATTTTTATTTTTTTTTCTGAAGGAATTCAGTGTTATTCAATGGAATCCTCTCTGCAGGTGGAATTTTTTGGGCTCCAGGGCTGTAGTGTGCCTGCACTTGAAAATTTGGCCATTTATTTGGAAACAGACATGGGCAAGTTCCAGCTCATTCATCCAAGCTGTCCTTTCTCAAGGACAAGGAGTAAGGCCAGCACAGCTGAAATGCTGCAGCCAGCTCCTGAATGTTTCCAAATAAAATGCCTTGAGTAAGTTTATTTTTCCCTCTCAAACCTAAATTTAGCACCCTGGAGAAGCTGCTTTGGCAGTCAACGGATGGTAACGATGACAAGATCAATCTGTGGATAGTTCTGGGAAGATTTGGAAAGTCCTGGTAAAACAGAGTTGGTTTCATTCATGTCTGCAATTTGTCCACAGCCCAAAGGTCTGCTCATGAACTTCCAATGGTTGAAAGACAAGATATTGATAGTTGCCTTGTTTATGGAGGACAACAGATGATCCTGACCGGACAAAATTTCACAGCAGAGTCCAAGGTGGTGTTCACAGAGAAAACATCAGGTAAGACAGTTTTTTCCCAACTTTCCCTAATGGGATAAGGCAAATCTGTAGTGCTGTTGCATCTCGTGGTCTCATCCTAAGATTTGTGCTTGTGCATAACTCTGCTTGAGTGAGTAATCCCATTCAAGTTCATGTAAGGAAAACCAAATCACTTAACCATGTGAGCAAAATTAGACTTGGGAGCAAATATTTGTGTTATTGGTTCACAAGAATGCAGACACTGGCAATCAGTTTGAACAGGATATGTTGTCAAAGAAATGGGATTTCCATTACATGTTTCTCTATGCTTGTCCAGTCTCATGCTTAGAGAACGCTACTGTAGAAATCATAATTGAAATGAACATTTTTCATTGATGTGAGCTACAGGCAAAGATTGTGTTTTCTTCCCTTTAGAAGTCCGTGGGGGAAAATGTGCATAATGTATATTTTTATATCAAAGTAAAATTATTTTTGTACACATACTGGGATACAAGAATACATCACTTCGTCTTCCATATCTTTTTGGATATTTTTATACAGGCTCAAACTATAGCAAATCAAATTCAATTCAGAGAGAAAAGCCCACTGTTACAGCCTAATGCTACTTTTTTTTTTCCAGTAGAGCTGCTGCTTTTAAAACACGTTTTGCCAAAATTTTCAGGTAATCTTGCTAGTTCTTGAGCAGCCATGAAGGAGGAATGAGTGGCAGATTGTAGATTCACTTGTTTTTGTTGTCATCTTGTCTGCTTATTTGCTCGACTTGCACAGAGCCAGTACAAGATGGTCCCAACCCCTGACTGGTGTTGGATAAATCTAAAGAAGTAATAGGATAAAGAATGGTTACTGGGAGTTATTCATTGCCTAGCATCACCTTTACTGCCTTTCCTGAGCTCCCTGTATTGTGTTTTCATAATGGCATGCTATAATAAACATCACTTGATTTCTAACTCAAAGAATACCTGACCCCAGAAAATATCCTTAGCATGACTGAATGGTTAAGGAGGGCAGCAGAAATCCAGGTTTCTGTGTTTACTGGAGGAAACGCAAACCAATGTATTCTGCTGTAGTTCGTTACCTGTCTTTTTAGAGCTGAATTGTTTCTTTTTAATATCATACGCATGCAGGCATTTCATCTCACCTCACTAGGCAGTATGTGTATTTTATTGTGTTTTCTAAGGCTTTTGCAGAGGGACATTTGTTACTTTGTAAATGGTCTGGACTTGTTTAACTTACCCTTCATTAGGCTTGATTTTTGTATTCTAAATACTGTGCTCTGCAAGGATAATAACAATGTCCAGGGATCAAAAAACCACTTTGCAGATACAAAGGGCCAGACTCTGCCGTCCTTTACTCCTGTTGATTTCAGCGAGACAAAGGACTGCAGTACGAAAAGCGTCAGCCTGTTTTATGTAAACTTTATGTTCCCTTTGTACTATTAAGAAAACACGTTGCTCCTAAATTTTCTGTTAGTAAACTAAGGTAGAGGCAGCTTAAGCGATATATCCAGTGACTTGCAAGGGATTAAGCAATTGCATCACCCAAGTGAACAGCATGTGCGTGATTTATGCGGTAATGCCTTTGGCAGAAAGTAAGAATCAAGCCAAAAATTAATGTACATGGGCATCAGCTGGTGACATTGGAGGGGGGGGAAAAAGCATGCTGTGGGTCCCAGTTTCTTCCCACACCACCAGCAAGCCATGCAGTTTTACAGCAAAAATGAAAGGCTCTGGGCCTCTGAACTTGAAGGTTCAGATGAGCCTGTACAGTCAGAGCAATTTTCTTGGCACCCTGGCTTTCCTTTTAAGCCCACATATTAATTCCTTCCCGCTGTGTTGCCACTGTTCCGTCAATGTCAGCGAATCATGAAGGTGCATGGGAACATGCTTGGCAGCCCATGACAGTACCTGTCCCAAGAATGTTTTGCAGTAACTAAAGGAGATGGTATACTAAAAGGAGGTAGCTCTTAATGCCATTTCGAGGAAACATCCAAAACGTCCTGCCCCTATTTCCATAAAAGAGCAGAGAAGGCTCTGGCTGGAATAGATGTTAGAAAGTAAAAAGAACAACAACGTTTTCCACACTAAATCTAAAGCTTTTCTTCAGTGCTGGGGAAACTGCAATTTTTTTTTTTCTTCTCTTTTTTTACCGCCTGGTAGTGGAGAGGCATGACTTATCCCAGCAGTGGTGCCCAGTCTGGAGCAGGGATTTGAGTGCTGGTGTTCCATATCCTGCCTGCCCCACCGCCCCTCAGCCTCTGCAGGCATTCGAAGTCTTCTGGGCTTTGAATAAATGATTGGCGGAGGGGGAAGCCGAGAGTGGGAGGCCCAGAGTCAAATCTTTGGTCTGAATCAGAAGTCTGTGTAGTTTGCGGTGGGTTAGCTGGGGCACTCTGCTCCGTGCTGAAGGCAAGCTTGTTCTCTGTGTATCCATGCAGTGTTTTATAACGCAGCAATACCTCTTACACATATGCCACAAAGTGCTTTTAAGTGAAGATGGCTTTCTTTAATAGGCATATCTTAGGATGAGGAAGGTTGAGAAGCTGAGCTGGATATGCAAACCATGCAGGGGCTGATCAGACTCTGGCTGACTGCAGTAGATTGAGAATTAAGCCTTGGTGCTTGGCTTGTCAGAGAGTAATGAGTGTCCCAACCTGCCTGAAAATTAGGATCTTATGCACCTGTGACTTTCAGCTTCCCTCTGTATAAACTGCAGGTAATTATAATTATCATTACCGTGTCCATGCTTAGTTGTTGTCGCGTTAGGCTGCATGAACACAGAACAGAAAGGCCCAGTTCTGCAGCCCGATTTACCAATTAGAAATGTCACTGGGTGGAAGGAGGAGGTGGATCCTGCACTCGCCTTGGGGAGCTCGCTTGCTGCAGATCCGATCTGCACAGCACCTTGCAAAAAGCGCTGATAAGCCTCTCGGAAGCAAAGTAAGCCACAATAAACATGCCAGTGGGTGGATAGTGCATCGCTGGCGTGACCCTGTCATCGTCGTGGCGCCCTCTTCCAGAGCGTGACGCTGCCCCGGGGAACCTGTGAAAGAATCGCACCTTTGTGAAGGCAGGAAGATGCACCAGCTCGCAGGGGAAACATGGTTTTCTTTGAGTTTCATTTTAACAGCTCACAAGTCTTGTCTGTGCTAGCAAGTGGTATTCGATTTCCCACTTTTGCCACCAATTTTAGCTCTACTAGTAACAAGAAGGGCGAGAGCAGCAGTGTAGATAACCATCTAGCAGCTTTCGACATGCTGAAGAGCTCCGTAGAGCTCCTTGACTTTGCTTGTTTGTCCAGTGTTTAAGATGAGAGTAGCAAGACTCTTTTTTTCCTCAAAAACCTTTTTGCAGGTACCTTTGTGCAGCGAGATATTCTACTGTTAACTGTTTCCTAGACTCCAAAATCTGGCGTACCTTGAGATCTGGGGTCTGGATCAGTGTCTGCAATGAAGCAGGCTCTGAGAAGGTGGCAGTCGGTGTGCCTTACAAAACTGAGGAAACTGCTGGTGGGGCTCACAATTGTAAATTAGGTTTTATCCCTCAGGAGGACACTCAAAACCTATTTCAGTTTCCTCTGGATCTTGTAGGCGATTCTTCATTTGCCACTAGGAACACAGAGAAACGTAGAACTGTTCATATTTGTGACCAGAATACAACATGCTTCTAAGAACAGTAATTAATAGTTTTTACTTCTCTGTTACGCAGCACTATAGATATGTGTAGTTTCCCTAGAAATACCTGCAAAATAAAGAATATTCGACAAATTAGACTGGGATATCATTCTGAAAATAACTGCCTCGTTGTATTATGCAAACTACAAACTATTGCAGTGAGCTCGCCAGTGAGAAGTCTGTCGAAGTCTCACATTTTAGGCTTGCAACAGGAAATGGCAGCAGGAAGCGAATTGAAAGGGCTGGAGCTCAGTGCCCTGTGTGCGAGCGAGGGGATAAAGGACTGGCGTTTGAAATGCTGGTGCATAAATAGCATTCATTTTCTTAATGATAAGGCTTACCAACATGCAAGCATTATAGTTTTGAATTCTTTTTAAGGTTATCTCTTCCTGATGAAAGATTGTAATCTGTACCTGCTGTAAGCCTGGGGAATTCATTCATTTGGTCGAGTCAGTCCAGCACACAAAAGCAGAGTTTGACTGACGGAGTTTTAAGATCTGAACCTGGAGACAAATAACTGAGCCCAGCTAAATAAAAATAGGTCAGGGGAAGCAACTAGATTGGATTGTACAGATAGAAATTTTTGAAGCACATATGTTCTTTTAATTTTGATCTGGAACAGAGAGCTTGCAAAGCAGTCTTGTGGCTGTCAAGGATTTGGAATACGCTAAAGGTCAAGGGTGTTGGGGTTTGGTTGGGGCCCAGATCTTACAATGCAGTTAAAAAAAGGTTTGGAATTCCCCTTTTTATTTGTTTTAATTGTCATGTAATAATTTGCAAGTCAGATGTTGTTGGTTGCATTGTTTACTCCCATTTGTGTACTGGTTACTGCTGCTCTGCCGTGAGTGATAGAGAAGTTTCGTGTTTCTCTGGGAGAAAAGTGCAAATGGACTGTGCTTTCCCCTGCCAAACTCTTATGGTGGCCACATGGACATCATGAATCATCGCTAGGACAATGTGGGTGGTGGAGGAACAACCCAAACAGAGAGTGTACATCTTTGGAGTATATCCACCATAAATCTTTCAAATCGGCAACACACTAATGAGAGGAGGTGGTGCTCTCAGTGCCCTTTGAACCGATGCAGCTGTCAAGGCCTCTGAAGCATGGATGCTGAAAGTCCTTTTGACAAAAATATATCTTTTCACCTCTAGATTCAAGCAATGGAGTTCTAGTTTCTTCTTCCCTCAAGTTTCTGCATGTCTGTCACCTCGGTGATATTTTTGTGATGGTGGTTTCTTAGGACACTCTCATAGCTAGAGCAGGTGAGCTTGAACGTACTTGAATGTCTGCTGCTTTCAGGAGAGCTCACCACAGGGCAGGATCAGGACCGTTGTGTTCAGCGCATCGGTG